GTAATAAGTTAAAGAATTGGGAGAATTTACTGTTCACATACACCTAATATATTATGGATTATAATAGTAATTCATAATATATTTCTTTTTTCAATTTTTTTCAACTTCTTTTTTTTTCTAAAATTACTCTTTTTTTTTCCAACTTTCATCCTTTTTTTGTCCATTTTTTTGTAAAATTATTTTTATTAATTTTTTTAATATTAAGCTGGTTAAAAGTTTTTACTTGGTTTTTTATATAATTAAAAATAAAATAAAAAATTAATATTAAATAATAAGTTATAGGGTAAGGAGAATTTACTATTCACCCATACATAATATACTGTGATTTACAAATTCCTCTTTTTTTTACTTTTTAAATTTTTTTTCAATTTTTTTCCAACTATCTCCTTTTCTCTTTTTTTTTTCATTTAATTTTTTTTTCAAAATTACTTTCTTTTCTTTTTTTCCAACTTCCCCTTTTTTTTTTGAAATTATCTTTATTAATTTTATTTTTTTTAATATTGAGTTGGTTAAAAATTTTATTTTATAATTTTTTTCTTTAAGATACTGTGGATTGCTAAGGTATTTTTTCACATGATTTTTTATTTTTAAAATTATATTTGTTGATTTTTTTTAATATTGAGCTAAGATACTTTGGATTGCTATGGTATTTTTTCACATGATTTTTTATTTTATTTTTTTATTTTTAAAATTATATTTATTGATTTTTTTAATATTGAGCTGATTGAGAATTTAGTTTTGTAATTTTAAAAAAATATTGTTGATTGCTACAGTGTTTCTCTGCATAGTTTTTTTATTTATTTTTTTATGATTTTTTAAATTATCTTTATTGATTTTATTTTTTTAATATTAATTTGTTTAGAATTTAACTTTTTAATAAAGCTTAATTATGTGGGGAAAGCATTGTAACTTTCCTTACAAAACACTATGGATTACTAGAGTGTCTCTCAATATGTTTTTTATGATTTTTTTAAATTATCTTTGTTAATTTTATTTTTTTTAATATTAAACTGGTTGATAATTATAATTACAAGTCATTTTAAATAAGGTTAAATTATGTGAGAAGCATTGTTGTTTTCATAATAAAACACCATGAATTACTATAGTATTTTCAACATGGTTTTTTCTCTTTTTTGTGTTTTTTTATTTTTTTCTAAAATTATCTCTGTTGATTTGAATTTTTTTAGTATTGAGCTTATTGGAAATTTAGTTTTGTAATTTTTTTCTTTGAAACTCCGTGAATTATTGCAGTGTTTTCCTGTATGATTTTTTTCCAAAATTATCTTTGTATTTTTTTTAATATTGAGTTGGTTAATAATTATAATTACAGTAAAGCTAAATCGTATGGAAAAAGCATTATAGCTTTTCTCACAGAACACTGTGAATTGTTACAATATTTCTCTAAATAGTTTTTTCAAGTTATCTTTGTCAATTTTATTGAAGAAAGCACTGTAGTTTTTCTTACAAAACATTTTTAATTGTTACAATGTTTTTCCTCGTAGGCTTTCTTCCTTCCAAAATTATCTTTGTTGGCATTTTTTAATATTAAGTTAATAGAGAATTTAGCTTTGTAAATTTTTTTACTTTTTATTAATAGAAAAGCTAGATCATATGGTAAAAGTACTGTATCTTTTCTTATAAAACATTGTGGATTGCTACAAATTATTTTGTTCAGTCTCTAAGTTTTTTATCACCAGCATATTTTTTTTTTCCATCATGAAATATTGGCTTTATCATATCTTTAGTTTTTATTATTTATTTAGCGCTAATTCACAATTATAATACCATTAAATATATTTATTTTATAAGTTCACAGCAATACACGAGCTAACCATCTCGTTAGATATAAACCTGCATGCATAAGATTTTCTTGAAGAAAAGATTAAAACATAACGTTAAACAATTTTTTTTTTTTTGAACAACATATGATTGTTCACTATCTTAAAGATGTTTAATTTTCTTTTTTTAATTTAACATAAAAACATCACACAAAAAATGACCAATTTAAATTTTTATTTTTTTGTAAACATGACTCAAGGTACAAGAAAAATTATATTACATGGGACTCAACAACAACTATAATAATAATAATAATAATAATAATAATAATAATAATAATAATGAAGTGTCACTTTGACAATAATTCTAAATTAGATCATTAATAATTGAAAATAACTTGAGAATAATTTAGATTTTCATTAAAAATTTCTATGAAATTTGATATGCCAACTTGTAAATGATAAAACATATAATTAAATCGTGAATTTTAAATAACAGCCTTCCATTTAAAAAATAAATAAATTGTCACTTGTATAAGAACTTTTATATGAGATTTTTGTTTATATAATATAATTCTAAGAATAATATTACGAAGTATTTAGCAGCTGAATTATTAAGCATCAACTTGTGGACTCTCTTTTGTGATACCTTGCTTTATTCTTTCCGAATATGTTTTTCTTTTCTTTTCTTTTAAAACTGTGATTCATTAAACGGTGAGGTTTTGGAAAATGAGAATAGGACGTGTTAAATTCAGGTCCATATTCCTTATTTACTTCAGCGTACATAAGCACCACAAAGAGAATCATCTGATCTTTTATCGTACTTGTTTGTTTTTATATATGATGATAGGGATATTTTTGCACAATACTCTGAAACAATAAACGTGTTGATATTATAATTACCCTATAATATATTTAACCACGTTAATTCTCGTATTATCTTACCATTATTTTTTATTTTAATTCTAAAAAAAATTAAATATGGGATGATCATTAGAGTGTGATTAATTTTTTTTAGAGCAGACATCATCCCCCGACATGCAATTGTGGAAAGGATGCAAATGCAAGATCATGATCCCATGTAGAACTAAGTGAATTACTCTCATGTTTCAGTAATTGATCTTGATATGGAAAACTATGTGAGATTTTGCTTGAAATCAGCATTTTACTTGAAGTTCAGTAACAAGGTCACGGTGACTTCAAGGTATGGTAAAATATATATCTTCATATTATTACCAATAACGTGACTTTTGATTATTATTATTATTATTATTATTATTTGTTTTGAAAGGTTGGGTTACTATGAATAGAATAGTTCTTTATTATTTTTTTAATTGCATAGAAAAATCATTAACATTTTGAAATTTAGAAAAAAATATTTTGACCAATTGTGTTGTTATTTTTTTTTTTTTAAAAAAAGAAAAAACTCCCCCAGCCTGCACTTTATCTTTTTGCTACCCCGTGGCCGTGTAGTACAAAGCCGCTGTGTTTTCACTTTCATTCATGCAACTTGTGATGCAGGCAAGACTTACAGGGGCTTACTTTCTTTGGTTTTATGTGAAGATCTTGTCAGAGGGTTATAACGTACGGATTGACGCTGTACCACACAGACACGGATTGCTGATCGTTATTCATCTCCGAAGGGGATAAGGACGCCGTCTAATAACAGCATGGGTTGATGATGTCGGAAGATGGAACAGAACTCCTGATGCTCACCTGCTGCTGCCGTTCTCCGTTGGGAACCAATCACTGAATTCTCTAATCGTTAATTCCAGTTAATTAGTTCATGATCAGAGAGCTTTGCGGTTCATTGACACCTTTGTCCCCTCCACCCTAATGCCATGGCCTGAGCTAACTCATTTCATTACTAACAGCACTTAAAAGATAATATAATTAACTTTTTTTTTAAAAGAAAAAGTTAAAGAAAAAAACAGAATTACTAAACTAAGTGAAGTATAAATCCCAATGTCATAGGTAAAGTCATGAAATTTAAGTAGATTTAATACCTTCTTATTTTAATATTAAAAAAATAATATTATCTTGAATTTTTTAAGTTAGTTTTTACTAATTTATTTATATAGTATTTAGACTTGTCAAATACTAGTTAAATTAACTAACTCATATCAGAATAAAAATACATTTTAATAATAAAATATTTATTTAATATAGAAGAGTTCAGTTATAAATTTAAAAAATTAAACTGTAAAGCTTGAATTAATTTAATATATTATTATTTTAATATTTAAAAAAAAATATTATTTTGATTTATTTATTTTTAAATCAAACCAATCAAAGTTATTTTTTTGATTCTTCAAACTGAGTATACCGGATTTAATTTAAAATGCAGGTCCAGAAATGAAGGTGTCAAATTAAATAGCAAGGTCAAATTAAATAATAAAATCAAATAATTCCCTAACCCATATTTTGTTTTTTTTTACTTTCAATTTTTTTAACAACCCGCAGAGTTTGCGCCATGAGTAAATTAATTATATCTATATTAGAATTAACAAGGAAATATATCTTTACCGACGAGGTTAATAAAATATAAATGTGTTAATTTTTAAAAAAATATATATTATGAGTTGCTGTTGCTTTTCTTCTCCATGTTGTCATAAAGTCATTGAAGGGGACAGTACAATGCCACTTCGGTGGTAAAGTGTTTCGGTGGGAAAAATAATATTAAATTTTGGTTTGATTTTGTATTTTTAAAATATTAATTTTTATTTTATTTTTAAATTATTTTAATATGCTAATATCAAAAATAATTTTTTAAAAATAAATAATATTAATTTAACATATCTTTTAAAAATAATACTTTAAAAAATAACAACAAATAACATCTAAATAGAAGATGGAGCAGCCATTTATGCGACCATAGTACATGGGTGATACAGCATGCACATGGAAAAAAAAATTAATGTTTCGATGATTCAACCATAGAAAGTTGACTGACTTCCTTCCTGGATGGAGCACTTGTAACCCATTGTGACAGTAGGAAACATGCTCCTTGTATGCATTTTAATTCTATGCTTCATCATGGTAGCGTTAAGTTTACATGGTTATTAATCTCTCTGTCTTCGCCATGCTCGTACAGAGAAAGAGTAATTTTCTCCTCTCAAACTTGCTTTCTGCGCTGAGAATTAAACACAAAAATCATCTTGGAGTGGCGATAATAACTACCTGCTAGAACCATGTTAACAGGTTAACTCATGAGAAGAAAAGAAAAGAAAAGAAAAAAGCTTCCATTCGCAAAAGGTGAGGGAACAAAAGGGGGAAGGGACAAACTAAAAATTGAGAATCTGACTATTATAATTAAGAGATCCAAGATAAAAAATTTATAATGTAGCCACCCAAAAAGGCTCCCAGTTTAACAATCCTTTGTTCTCTACTTCGCCTTCTTTGCACCTCCTTGGTCTTTGAAACTCCTCCGTTCCAGGTTCAGTATCAATGTCCGAATCATTACCTCCCACCTCTTCTTCAGAGGACGCAACATTTCCCTCCCCAACATCAAAGTCATCTACATCATAATCCATGTCATTTTCAATCTCATCTTCTTTGTTATTGCCTTTATTTTCTTCAGTGGAGGCTACGCCTATTAAGTCAAGAACAGAAGAGGAATCTTTGACAAAGCTTAATCGAAGGCGGCCATCCTTTCTTTCAGCATGTAAGCAAGTGTGTCTTGATGGAGCCTCGACGGCTCTGATTATCAACCTTCCATCTTCGCGGTGGGGCCTAACTTGTAGAGATTTTGATCCACGCATCGTTGTCAATGGAGGTGGAAAACTACGAGAATTCGCTTTCTTAGCTCCCAAAAGTCGATGCGATTTCTGTTGCTCCCTTGCTGGAGAATCTCCTACTCTTGAGTCTGATGAAGACAGTGAGAAAATGCTGCTTTCAATGATATCACTTCCACTTTCGCTACCTAAACTCTCCGTACATAATTCCAGGCTCTTTTCACTAAGCACTGAAGAGGAACGATTGAATAGAGGGTGGGCGTAGATATTTTCTTTCTCCATTGATTCTTTGGGACCTTCAGGACTGGTGGATAGAACTTGGAGGAAGCTCCAGCCACCCAAATCAGGTTTTGCAGATGTGTGCTTATCATGAAGGAAGCTACTTTTGTGGCTAGTTTCCTCGTAGTGGGATTTGTCACTGACTTCTTTGGTGTCAGAATCTAACAAAAAAGACTTTAAGGCCAGTTCAAGGGGTTGGGAGAAGTTAGGATTTGGTGAAGATAATCTAAGTCTTAGTGTTCTTGACTCGACAATAGGGGACTCGAGGCAAGACTGCAAACCCTGGCAGACCATAGTTGCCATTGCATAAGCTAGCTATACGAGTTTTATCGCAGATACGAAACAAGAAGTTGCAGGAGACCCGCCAAGAATAAATGGAGGCTGAGCAAAGACAGGAGAGTTTAGTATCTGGGGTTTAGAGATTCTTGTTTGCGAAGAGAAAGAGAGGAGAGGAGAGGAGACTGAACATGAGGGATAACTGGGGCGTGGGGTGTGAATTTGTAGTCTCCAAAAGGCGCCAGGAGGTACAGTGGGCAGAGGTGGGGAGGGGGCTTTTGAGGCCACTTGAAATATAACAAATCTTAATGATTTGCCACACTGAAAAAGAGAAGAGAGAAGTAAAAAAGTGGTGGGTGTGTAGGAGGGAGAAGGTGGGGGTCTTTGAAGTTTAAAGACGAGGAACTAATCGTTGGTTTGACTTGTAAATGGGTTTTTTAGGATTTGTTTGTATGATTATGCAATGAGACTCAGATTTAAGACCTCTATCCTTCTTGTTTGTGTGATGATACCACTCAAGTATATAAGTTCACTACGAACATGATGCGAAGTAACAATGACTCCAAAAAATTACCTGCTTTTCTATTCCCTTTTATTTCCTTCCAAAAGAAAGCCGACAAAAAAAGCTACGAAACAAAGGATTCTCTCAAATATTTCTTGATACTGTGATGGCGATTGGTTTTCCCGTCCTTTTTTTCGTCTTCTTAGAATGTATTTTATCAGGACAGAAACTACACTATCCTTTCTTTTATAGATGGTGATTCATGTCTTGAGGGTCAAAACCTAAGTTGATTGCATTCTCGGTGAATAGAAGCAGAAGAAAACATCAGCACAAACCCTTTGAGATTTGAAGCTAAAGTGTCAAATTACATAAACGCTCATGATTCATGCCGACCAGATATGTAAAATTGATCAAAATCCTCAACTTTCCCTGATTTAGACCAGCAGAACTAGTAACAAAATCATGCCCGACAGCAAAATGAAGACAATAATATTTTCACCTTTAACAAAATCAATGCTTGGTTTGATTAGCATTGAGAATCCGTGCTTCGTGGATCAATAATTCTGTTTCATGTACGGGAAAAAGAAAACAAGAAGAGGGGCAGTAGAGTTAGAGCAACCGGCCTGGCCGAATCAAGACCTCCATACTCCACCATGAATTTAAAGAGAGGCTTTGTGACGGTGAGACCCCACTTGCATGATAAATTGCCATTTATTCAACCACGGCCATCATTTTGTGCACTGTAAATTGCAACCAATTAAGATTCAGAGAATTTAAGTTTGCGTTTAGCTTTAACTTGCGATGTGATTTAAAGTGTGTCGGGTTGATTATACGAAGCAGATGAAATTCATTAAATTATTGCTTTTTAAGGATTTATCTTAACATCTTTCAAAAATCTAAAAAACATTTATGGTTGAAACACATTTTAAAAAACATTTTCAAATACACAAATACTGCCTTTCCCAAAGGTGATTTATGTTAACATGTATTCCCTTCATAATTAATTCATATTTTGCCCAGCTATCACAAGTCGTACGGACTGCTTATGCAATGCAATCCTTTGAAAAAGATATAAAGGATCCCCCACTGAGGCACCTTTTCATTGTCTACTACATGCTAACCTATGAACCCTACTATGCTTTTCTCTCTGAACCCTGATCCATGTGGACAGACAACAAAAATGACCTAGCCGACTGCATTAAAGTAACCCCAAGGCCCCGTTGGCCTCCCCAAAAGTTGCTGCTAGGGCTCTTTGCCACTTGAGCTTGTGGGTGAGACCTCCAAGTTTGGAAATCAGGGGAGGACTCATCAAACCATTTACGGTAAAAAAAGCGAGCAAATGGCATCAGTGAACCTTGCATCACATGTAACTGTACGGTACGCTTTAACATGTTGCCTTTCTGTGACCACACATGCTTGAACCAGGCAGATTTTCTTTCATTTAACGTGCATGTTAATAAAGCACGATCAAGTACATTCTTTCTTTTTTCTACTTGTATTCTACATAAATGGTTATGTACTTCCTTTTTTGTTTCAATATTTTGGTTAATGAATCTAAGAAAGTCACAAAATGGGAAAAACACAACCTACGAGTACGAGCATTCCTTGAATGACCGTGTACGGAGAACAGAACACAAAAGAAATAACTGATAGGATCATTATTATACTTTGCATCCCTTCTAAATTAGATATTTATGATTATTACCTTCCCAACTTAGCTAATCAATAATGGAGTAGAAGGATATGCATAGAAAAGCATATGCCAAGCTGTGGTATACGTTTGATTAACTGTCTATTTTCTAATCTTCCATTTTCCTTCATGTTTTCTAGTTTCTTTGTACTTAGAAGAGCATATGGCCATTTTTCACGCGGACGCGGACTTGGTCAGGTTGTATACATGTCTCCTCCTCCTTTTTTATTTTCTTTCCCACTTATGATGCTCCACAACGTCCAAGAAGGTAAAGCTTGTTATTTTGGAATATCGGCTAATTCTTTAGTTTTAATAATCTAATATATTCTTTTTATCTTAGCGTTTAATTTCTGATACTTGCAAAATATTTTTTTTAATGAATTTAAAGACTTTACAAAACTTAAATACATATTATTTTAAGAAAAAGGAAAACTATATGTTAGAAATTGAGAATGTGATCTCAATTAAGCTCTCCTTCCAGAAAGGAGATCCTCTTATTTATAGTCCACCTTTCTCTTTATGCAAAAGAGGAGCTAAAGAAAAAAATATTTATAACTCATCAAAAAAGTAAATTATCAATATATCCAATTTATCAAAAAAAACATATCGTTGGCATGTTAAAGGATAAAATATCTCTTAATCCAAACGCGGAGCCTAAGATTTTTAGAGTCAAATGTATTTAAATTAGACGCTCAAAATGAACCTAGCAACTCATCATACCTGCATATGCAAGCACTAAACTCAAATATAATAGATTTGATAGCTTACTAAACTTCTATATGCTTGAGTTTAACACTTGACTAAACCTAGAAAGATTGGATTATCACCCTCATGATCCCTTTAGAAAATATATTAAATAGGATATAACATGTTAATCCATCACCGACAATATGATCACATGTTTCACAAATTTTACAGGATTCAGCGTATAAGTTACAGGTCAAAAAAACCACATTTGATATTATCAATTTTTTTGTATTACATGTCTACTCGTCAAAGAAAGAAATGATGATAACATAAATAATCGATAATGAACAATTGAGGAGCTGTTCTAGGTCAAAAATTTGAACCAATATGGTGTGGTTTTCTAAGAACTACGGCCATATTCAATGCATCCCTAATCTCCAAAATAATAGAATTGAAATAAAATAAAATAGAATAAAACTGAAGATTGCTATGAATTGAAAAGAGAGTGTGCAAGAATATCTCATCTGTGCAGATATTCGTGCCTCCATATCGCTTCCCAGAACTTTAATAGAAGTTTAGGGTCCTATTCAGTTTAGTAACCTTTGGTAGCTCTAAACGAGCATCCTTTTCGAGCCTTTCCTAGTACAAGGATTCCTTATCTGTGACTAATAATAGTTGTGTGCGACAGAGAGAGTGAGAGCGCAGCGCATTAATTTTGCTCCAGAACCCATCTGCGTTTCTTTGATTTTATTTTAGCGCCTAGGCCCATTTTGACTTGGAGATAGAGAAAGAGATACTGAAATTTGCATCAGAATCCATCAAAATTTGTTTGATTTTATATCAAGTAATGGAGAATCTTTAACTTAGAAGACGTCATGTCCCGCCAAAAGTTGGCCCCTTGATTTTTTCCCATGATGCATATTTAGTGAAGACTTTGTTAAGAAAGACAAGGCCAGTTCATGGCTCACATTACACTAGCATGTAAACAAATCACTCTGCCTGCCTTTTTTACCATGTTAGTGCCACCTTTCCCTTTCACTACATACTTTGTTGCATTAATTTTTATTTTAACTTCCCAAAGAACACTGGAAACGATACACAAGGAATGCCTACGTAATCCATGCAAACATGCAATGCAACTAATGGTCATGTTATTGCCAAAGCACTTTCTGCATAGAGCCCATGAAAGACCTTTAGAAGCAACATGTAAATGGCGCACTTGAAGGATAGGTTAGCACACAGTGACTAGACATATGAGTCTGATCTCAACTGGCATGCATGATTAGTATCGATGCAATCCTGTTGCTCTGACAATTAACTATTAATATAATGGGCAATCTATTATTTCATGCTCTAGAAGACTGATACAGAGAGTTTCTGATTTTAGCCTGCAAGCTGTTATAAATATGTTAATAGTTAATTTTAAAGTAATAACTATTTACATCACTATTGAAATACAGTTTCAACTTATCGAAAAAGAGGAATTGGAAACAGAAGCAACGTATTTATTACAGATCTGATATAAAATAGGAATTTCCAGGTCAAAGCAATCAAATGTAGAACACAGTCACATAAAATTTGGTAAAAGCATCCACTTTAGATATTTGTGGAAATTATAAACAGTCCATTTATTAATATACTTTTCAAGAGTAAAAAAAGTACAAAATCAAAGAAAAAACTGAATCAACAAATTGCATTCCACCAACCAGGTACCAAACATTATTACAGGGTAGTGTTGCTTAAAAAAAGCTTTTAAAAGTAATGTTTTCCAAAGCAACCATACAAGGAACATCAAATACAGTTCCCCAGTTGGAAATTAAAAATAACAAATAAACTGGTAAAATAGAAATTAAAGTGCACAAGTTAATTCAAATATCTATCTCTAGGACGACCTGCTTTTAACCAAATTATCAAACTCAAAACTATGAATTCAACACCATGAAGCTCTTGTCAGTGATTTTGGCGGGTTCAATATTTATGTTCTCAAAAGATCCACTTGCAAATAACACACTATAATCAAGACCGTTATAGTGGTAAGCCCATCATCTAAAAACAAGGAGATGCAATTTAAGGAACATCGTGCAGAATACAAAACGCAAATCATTCTTGGCACACATTAATGCGACATCATGGCCAGACTGATAGTATCACATGCCAATTATTAAGGGCGCTAATAAGGATGTCTTAAATTCTCAACCATTCCTAGAGGGTGCCAACTAAAGTCACTCAAATAAAGATGAGAGGTATCAAGAGATTGGAAATTTACTTTCTGTTTGGAATCCAACCATTGGATCCAACAAAATGAAAAGGACTCAAGAAATGTCACTAACTATATATCTCCAAACACATTCCTCTTGCAGTTTCTGACTTCGATAGATAACTCTTCAAAACAAGTACACAATATAGCGTAAATGAGCAGAAGTAAAATCTTAATATATGATTGATCTAGATGGTTGTCCCAAAAATGGTACAAGAAATGAATACTCCACGTAGCTCGTCGCAGATTCAAACCCTCTCTATCATCTTGCAATTCTAAAGTATCATGCATGCAAGCAAAAATGAAATATTTATCACCTTATTTAATTCGTATTCTTTCCAAAAATGATGCAAGAGCCCCAAGCTTCAAAATTCCACATCCATGGCTCAGATCCTCGTCAATTATCAGAGAGATTTGTTCTCAAAATCACTCCACGTCTACCATCCATCCTTAAATGACTAAAAACCCATCAATCATCAAAGTGAACCATAATTATTTATACCTGCCACTTATAGGTTTCTAATGATATGGCAACATATTAACTGAAAATCAGTCTCTAAGGTATGAATAAATGACCAAACTGAATTAAGAGATATATTCAGGCAGAAAAGGGCAGGAAACCTCTCAGCTACAGATCGAGCTCTCATGGGTCCTTTACATTTTAAAAATTATGATTTTGACTCCTTGAATTGTCAAATATTTTAGTAAAATAACAGCCATATGTTTCAATCAATTCAGTATCTAAGAGATAACAACAATGTATCACTTGCAATCACATTGTTTTTCAGAACACATGTTCAGCTCAAGAATGAACAAACACGATCAGTTAATTACAAGGAAAAAAAGAGACAGTTTTGAGACTACTTCATATCAACTCATAATTTAGGGATTTCAACATTCTTTACTCTAATTTTTTTCTTTTTAACAAATTTACAATATACAAATCCAAATCTACATATTGAAATTCAAATTACATTTTCACGTCAAATTACTAGATGAATTTAACAATTAAATTCCAAATTATAATAACAAATCATCAGCATTTAATAATGCTCTTCAATTACCGATAATAGCAGCATTAATGAATAAAAACGAGAGACAAATCACTCACAATAACACAGGGAAGCTAAGTGACGACCACGGTGATCAGAACAGCATCAATGGCAGCAAGGAAGGTGAAAGATCCCGCTGGAAGTTAAAGCTAAATCTTTGTGAGGATGCCGCAGTAGCCGCGCGCAGAACCGCTGGTTTTGATTTTTTTGACTTCGAAGCCGGGGGAGTCTGCAAATAAATATGTTATATAATTTACCCTCTAACGTTTGATAATTATGTTTATCCCCTGTTAGTTTTTGCAATTACAAAATTATACCATCTTGCGTGGGCTTATCCATCAATGAGCCCCTATGGGCTTATCCATCATTGAGCCCGTATGTTTTTAGAAAGTACTTGTACGGTAGTAATTATGATTTAAAATATTTTTATTTAAAAATATATTATAATAATATTTTTTATTTAAAAAATTTATTTTTAATATTAATAAATTAAAATAATTTAAAAATAAAATTACAAACACATTCTCAAATATTATATAATTTTTAAAAAACCACGTAAATGAAATATATAACTAATGAGAAGTTGTGTTCTTCAATCAAGTGATTATTTTTTAAAAATATTTTTTAAAAATATAATAAAATAATAATTTTTATTTTTACAAATTTATTTTTTATATCAATATATTAAAAAATTTAAAAATATCTAAAAAATTTAAAATAAAAAAATTGCCATAATGTTTTTCAACCAAAAAAGCAATCAGAGCACATCTCCATTGACTTCTTTTTAAAAAAAAATGTTTAAAATACCAATGTACTTTCCATAGTTGAACTACTAAAATCCAATGGGTCACATTATCAAAGTATATAAAAGCGGAACAAGGAAAATTAATAAAAAATAGGAAAAGAGATAAAACTAGAAAATCAATCAAAATAAATTAGAAAATTTTAAAAAAGAAAAGTAATAAAAGACTTAAGAAAATTAGGGGAAAAAATATCAAGCATACCATTTAATTTTCTAATTTAAATAGAAAAAATCAAAGAAAAGTAATTTTCTTTAAAAACCTCTTGCATCCAATTTCTTTGAAAATGATATAAATTATAAAAGGAGAAAAAAACAAACAAAAAGATCTTTATAACCCTAGTAATATCTAATCCAATGATTTTATAGATTATCTCCTCTTTTTTTGTAGTGTGGTGTTTTTTTAAAATCAAATACCCGAACCTTTTCAATTTCCGTAGTCTCGTATTGTCCTACTGATAAATAGTCTCTCCGTGCCTCTCCATGCAGTAGAGACTACACAGCCTGGCAGTCAACTATTCATGCCCCGCGTTGAGAGACGTCATGACTGAGCCGAAGGGAACGAGTAGATCTGGACATTTACGCACAAAAACCTTTTTGGTATGACAAATTTAAGAAAACCTTATTTCCACTCATCTGGCTTCCAATTATCATTCTCTAATTATGAGTTAATTAGTAATTATTACATACATCTGGCATGTTGCTCTTTTCTTTGCATTTACAAGAATATCATAAGTAATTCTCTTATAAGCAAAGGCATTATATGCACATAGATACAGGAACATCGAGGGGACGAGTAAAAGCGAGCATGATGCACTCGCTCGCGTCTCGAGATTCATACTGGGAAGTTGGCGGCCCACAAGAGGTTACTTTTTAATAGTACCGATCCATTCAGGCCCAGTAAGCTCAAAATCAGTCCACGAGCCCAAGTTCTTCTCTTCCCGCTGCCGTTTTGAAGTTTCGCAGGGGCAAAACAAACTGAATTTGGCTCTGCGTGAGGGGAAATGGATTCATGTTACATTGAAACTTTTCAGCGTGTGTTTAGTGATGCAGAATATATTTTAAAAGTACTTTTTACTTAAAAATATATTAAAATATATTTATGTTTTTTTAATATCAATACATCCAAACTATCAAAAACTAAAAAAATATTAATTTATTTATTTTTTTAATGCCGAACACGTTTCAAAACACTTCTACCACACGTAAAAATGTAATTGCGGGAAAGGTTGAACGACTTGCAAGAAGTTGCCAGTTGAGGGAGTTGAGGGAGGCCCACAACCTGCCCATCTTGCAAGCCCGAAGCAGTGGCAGTTGGCCGTGCCAGACAAAAACAAAAAGTTGGAGAATATCCTACCCACCCCTTCATGCGGTTGCATTACACGGACCCACTTCTAAACTTTCAGTTTTGTAAAGGAAACCTAGTAATATATAGCTACATATCGAATCCAAATCCATCATGCACAAGACCAAAACAAAATCAATAACTCACACCTTAAAAGCAATGTTTTTCTCTCACATAATTATGATTGCCCTCCGCTGCTGGAAAAAACCTGGAAAGTTAATGGAGCTTCAATGACACGCTTCTTCTTTCTTTCTTTCTTTTTTTTTTTTTTTTTTTTTAATTTCAATCTGGTTTCTCTCTTTTTTTTCCTTTTAATTTCAACTTTTTTTAATTTCGTTCTTTATTTTTTATTTTTTACATTCATTTAGATTATGGAGGCAACTATGCAATTCAATTTTAACTTTAGATTATTTTGTATACAATTTAATTTTAAATTTAATTTAAACAAATAATCAAGTTGATTTTTTTATATTGAATTGTTAATTTTGTTCTTAACTATTTTTTACTAGTTATTTAAATTATTTTTAATGTGATTGAGTCAACTGAATCATATCAAAATAATTTTTATATAAATTAATTTTAAATTTAGACTAAACAATAATTATAATTATAAGATTTTTTCAGTTAAATTTATTTTTAATTTTTTTTTACAGGTGAGATCAGCTGCTTTAGACCAAATAAATGGACTATATCTTATCAGCTCTTAAACAAATAAGTGGATCAAAAATTTTTAAATTAAGTAAAATATTTAATAATAATAATTAAAAAATTATATATTTTTTTTTATTAAAAAAGTAATTTTACTCGCATGCAAGTAAACTAGTATTAACGGCAACTACGGAAATCAATTTTCACACGAGTGAAAGAATATTGCTTCGAAAAATATTTACTAATTCATCAACTCATGCATTAACTCATGAGGCTTGTTTCACATAACTTCTAACCTTTTGTTTCAAGTATTAAGCAAACCACTTTCAATGTTACTGACATATTCACAGGAAATTTCTTAATATCATTTCAAGTACAGCGAACCTTAAATCATGCAACAAAATTTATCCTTCCTTGCCTTTTGTTTGAATCGCAGCAAGTTATTATAAATGACAATATGAAAAATTAAGCTACACTTTTTTTTAACAACTCGTTCCATTTCTTCTACATTTTTTTAAAAATAACCTCCTTGGACTATACTCCATAATTCGTAAATAATAATACTATATAGTATGTGATTACATGTATATTAGAGGGCAGGGAGAAAATCTTTCTAGATTACATTCCATGTTAGCATGTGATCAAGGAGCTATACTCTTTTTTGTAATTTATGATTCAAATTTCGAGATTAATATTTTAAAAAATTACCAATTTTTTTAATACATTAGTTTGACTGTTAGGTCGTGTCTTTAAAATAATCCCAAGAGAAACTTAATCTTAATTAACACGCAAGTTAATCAGAGAAATGTCCTTAATTATTGAATAAAAACATTATAGGTTAAAAAGAAATATCATAAGCAATAAATCAAGAATAAAATTAAAACTAGAAGGGGGAGAGCGTGAGAGAAATGCAAAGTGGGACGACCATTTCAAAGCGAGGTTCTCGCAAATCAGGAGTCCCATCTCTAATCTTGTCTAGAGAGACAAGAGAGAGAAAGGCACGAGCATGGCGATGATATTACAAGGGAGCATTGTCGGTGTCCTTCTCCTCCTCCTTATGCTGCTTCTGATCCTTCTCCTTATCCTCCTCGCCTGTAAACCATGGCGCTTCTTCTCCTCCCTCTCTTCCCCTTCTCGGGCGCTTAAGGTACGACAACAGCAGCAACTGCAACAATAATCTAATTCTATTTCTTAGCTTCTTCGTTTGCTTAGGTACCATAATTGTGATGCTCGGTTTGGTTGGTGAGAAATCGTAGGGATTTTGTAACGGCCGATTCGACCTTACTTTCGTGTATTGTTAGATCATTTTTTTAAGGAATTTAGCTCAAAACTAGAACCAGAGCGGAGGGTTTTAGCTTTGTCGAGGTTTATTTTTTACTTCTTGTGGATTGATCTTGTTTGCCTGGGTGGGTGGGAAATTAGAATTAATGGTGGCTAATATTTGGTTCCATCATGCTCTTTTTAAGAATTAGGGGTTTGATTGACACTGGGACTTGCGCCTTCTTGTTTATACTCATTTATTTTAAGTTTGTCCGTTAGTTTGAGGAGGATTTGGTCATTTGATGGTTTGAGCAATACGTCCACTGTCCTATCAGCTAGTTGATTGTGTCTCGGGCAGCGGATATAGCAACTAGCAAGCATTTATTTTTCACGAACATTTTCCTCTATTTTTCAGACGAGGGTTTTAAATACTGCTTAAATAAATGGGATTTTTTATTGATTCCAGATCGGTGTTACTTACATATTGTATTTTGTGAACGAGCTTCTTAATTTTAGCAATGGAAGCTTCTTTTTTTTTTGCTTGTCTGGAGGTGCTCTTTGTGGAAAAGAAGGATTATAATCATTAAGGTCTCAAATATTTACATAAAAATGCAAATATACGCTTGTTTTGCATTTCACTTTAACTGATGGAATATGAAGTGGAGTTTTAGATTTTTACCTCATTTTTTTTTAATAAAATGCTCAAGTGGTTAATTAAACTGCTTTTATAAGGTAATCATACCTGTATTATACCTGTATTGAATCTATATTTAACGAGGCACTCCTTGAAATCTTCTTTACTTATAATCCTTCTAAATATCATAGAAGTATCACATTTATCTTGTCCCTGTCCTGTGCTTGCCACAAATACTAAATATTGGGAAATTTGCACTACTATTATTCCATACGTTAATTTCTATGCACACAGCATCGATTCACTAAGGCTGGTGACATATGTATACATTTGCACCGATACTAAAATCTGCATACTATAACTTTCTGATTGGCTCTGCTCATGCCCTGTAACATCTCCATTTTTTAGGTTGGTGACTTAGAGAGGCCCCTTGTCTTGGATGATGCAAATGCCCAGGGCCAAAGCAATGAATCAACTAGAAGTAGTGATCTAGAGGGAGCATGTGGTCAAAATGAAGGGCTCTTGCATTCACCTCGAATGCATGACCTTGTAT